GAGGGGGCGACACCCCCGTCCCCCCGCGGCGCCGCCCCCGCCCCCGGGCAGGCCCGCAGAGCGACCCCCGGGGGGGGGTTACTCCCCGGGTTTGGCCGCCGCAAAGCCAGCACGGGCAACAGCAAAAATGCCCGCTCCCACTGACAATAGAAGTTCAGGAAGCCTCCATGGCAGCAGAAAGGAGCGAAAGGATATCTGTAGGCATGGCAGCTGGAGCAGGAGTGCCCCAAGATTTGATAGGCACACATTCTGGGCAGAAATGGGGTGTCCTTCTCTGAGAGCAGATAGATATGACACAGAGGACACAGGGCATGGGTAGGGTGTAAAGCAGTCAGTGGCACGAACTGCCCAGGATAGCTATCCAAAGGAAACCTTTATACTTAAAGGGATTAGACAGCCGGTGCAACATCAGAGCTGACTACAGGGTTTTGCTGCTAACCCTGGGGTCAGAAATTGCAGCACGGGGTAACCTCAGGTGGCATTTTTACGGGATCAGATGGGGGCAGCAGAGATTGCTGCAGCGCTGACTCTTCTACAGCAAGTTTCAAGTAAAGGGATTGATGCAGCTGAGCAAAACTCGGTGAGGTTTTTTTTTTTTCTGTTGAAGGATTCACTGAGCTTGCCATGGTAGGTGTTTAAAAGGAACAACCCAAAAGACAAACTGCAAACACCAGGCAAGATTCAAAGTAAGTATGGAACAAGCCCCCCCAAACAAAAGTAATTAATAACAACCCCATTTTCAAACACAAACCTACCCCCTACACACACAGTCAATAGTCTGTGTCTTGTGAACCCCATGAACTGGGATCTCCACCAGTCCTTCAGGTTAACTTTCCCCTCCTGCCTGTCACTGAGAGAGGCAGAGGCCAAGCTCACTTCTTCCAGAGAAAAGCCACTTGTGAGAGCATGATCTCACTCATGAGGGAGGGAATAAGAAGTTTCCTTCCTCATTCTTAGCATGATTTCCTGAACAAATAAACCAGGTGGAAAGAAACACAAGAGACCTCAGCAGAATTCGATACTGACTCTTTGGAAAGCAGATCTGGAGGCACTGCTGCTGCTGCTTAGGCTTGTATGGAACCAGAAGGGAGGGAATTTTCCATCCTTTGCACTGAATGGGGCAACAGGAAGCACGGCTGTTGTCAATCCTTTTACAGGAGAACAGTTTACTGTAGCCTATCCCCAACAGTCTGGCTATCTGCCCCTCCCTTACACAAAGAACCTTACACAAAGGTTCAGGATTTTGTAACTTCAGACTATTCATTCAAATCATTCCAGATCCCCAACTACACAAAGCTCCTATCCCAGTCTTTATCTGCTATGAGCCCAGCCCCCCAGAGACACAAATTGCTCAGATTAGGACAATAGAAACATCCATTTTAATATTTTAAAAAGCAATCACAAAAAACCTGATTGCTCTCTACAACACATGCTCCCCCCAACTCCAATAAAGGGTGAGATCCCATGAATAAAACATGATCCCCTCAGGTCTTTGGCTCTTGTTCCTGACACAGGTCCCCATCCACTTTGAAGGTGAATTTCTTCCTCCTCCTTGCTCTTTTTCTTCCCAGGAAGAAAATAGTACCAAATGTTAACTCCCTCTGCACAGATATGGAGGTGCAGGAGCTGCTCACACACCAGTCTCATTTCTTTCACTGTTTTTGACATTAGGATCCTCTTGCACCTTTCTCATCTCCAGCCCTTTCACCCATGTGTAGGCAAAGGAGCCTCCCAGAACCATCAAGTTACTTGTCCACCACAAGAGGCTCTTTGTTTCCTCAAAGTAGATAACAGCCAGCACTGTTTGGGCACAGGCCTTGGCAGTCCCAGACACGTTGTGGGTAAGTGGGCTAGTGAACTTAATCTGAAGTCCAGTCACATACCCAATGGCAAAGCCAAACAGTCCCCCCAGGGTCATCATGCCCCAAAAACTGGGGCTTCCCAGCTTGTCGAAGTGGTAGAGGGTGCGGAACTCGCCCAGCAGCAGCATGAGGGGGAAGAACAGGACACAAGCATTGACGTTGTTGTAGAAGGTCAGGCGCCAGATGCTACCATCCACCACAGGCAGCACCTTCTTCGTGTAGATGGCATTGAGGGAGACACACAGGCTTGCTAAGATCCCAAAGAATATACCTGTCCATGACAGTGTGCCTTCTGCGCCTTCCTGGTCAACACCCAGCCAGAAGCCACCTGCAACCAAACAAATCAGGAGTCATCTGAACAACTGCTGAAGGACTCAACATATACAGGCAGCAATTAATCATTTACCTTACACTGAACAACCACAAGCAGAGACAGGCTTAACGACTTCCCCTTTCTATTAAGTGAACCCCCAAAGTGTCACGACTGCTGTCCAGGCAAGATTTATTTTTGGAGTGGGGTTAATTTACTATGCTATCATTCAATCTCAGAGAACCGATTCCCACGCTGAGCAGGCAGTGTGAGTTTAGAAACTATCATTCCAAAGAGCCAGAGGAGATGAGTTTCGGGTGCTTTTTTAATGGAAAAGGCAGTAATTTGCTGCATTATTAACAGGAAAGAGAGGTCAGAAAAGAAGACGGAAAGATAGTAAACACAAGGATGCAGTTTCATGAAGCTTCATAAAAAAATAAATCACAAGTTAGAAACAGTGCAGTATCTCCACCATGTTAAATTTATCTGATGGTTAACGCACTCTTTAACCACCTCCAGAACAAGCACTGCAGGCCTTACGTCTGCAGGGCAGAAAGGGAGACCTCTCCCCAACCCACTCCTAAGCAAAACATGAAAGGGCAGACTAAGTACAGCAAGGAGCACTGCATGGCCTCTCCATTAGCTGCTTCATGTTGGAGGCCGTCTCAGAAACTGCCTGCAAAGCAGCTAACGTGCTTTGAACCCAAATACAAATGGGTTCAGTGCACAGACAGGAAAACAAGGGGTTGAATGCACAGGCTTTGCATCATGTCACAGAGGATACTCGACTATGCTGCTACAGGGCAGCATTCCCACAGCAAAAGGGGATGGCCACAGTGGGACAGTCTTAGGGAAACCCTATAAAGGCTAGCAGACGCCATAGTCCTGGGCAGTCTCCAAATATAAGACTAGCTGAAGGCAACTGCTTGCATCACTTGGGTGAAAAAAAACCAACCCGAGTCCTGTTCCTCTTCACTTCTTCTAGGGAGAAAAGATTTTCCTGTCTCATTTTCATCCAAGTCCCTCTACTTGCCTAAACACCCACATGAACACCTGTCTACCTGGAACCAGACTGAGGTCAACAGTTCATCACCCTTGGCATCTAAGCAGGCCTCCAGTGGAAGGCAGCTTTTGGCATTACCAATGCCTTTGGAGTCAGACTTGTAAGCAGTTCCTGTTAAGTAAATAATACCCTGCCCTATATTCTAAACACACAACCAGATCTTCTGGTGGTGTTTTACGCTTGGCTTGATCAGCTAATCCTTCATCACACGCATTTAGCCTGGCTGAACTGGCTAGCTCCCCTGTATGGTCCCACTGGTGCAGACACACACTGCTAGTGCTACCAAAGCCAATGATCAACAAGTACTTGAGAGCAGGAAGAAAGCCCCCTGCTGCTGTACGGCCTGCGTGGAAGAAAAAATAAATAAATCAGGCAGGTTGTCGAAGCCAGGGCAAGGCAGGAGCCCTGAGCTACCCCACCTCAGGTGAGGATGGACCCGCCTGAGGCTGCGGGTCTGGCCGGGCCCCCTCCCGCCCCCGCTCACCTATGATGACTCCGCAGGCCAGGAGGGCGGCGAGCGAGGTGGTCTGCTTGAGCAGCAGGTAGGAGAGCAGCACGTTGAAGACCGTGGTGAGGGAGCGCCCCACGTTGTAGAAGGCCACGCCGACGTGCTTGAGGCAGAGGTTGTTGGAGGTGACCATGCCGATGAAGACGGCGGAGAGGGGCAGGACGCTGCGGGACACCTTGGGGTCGAGGCGGAGGGCGGGCAGGCCGGGGCAGAGGGGCCCGCAGGCCGCCCCCAGGCTCAGCCCCATGCACAGAGAGGCCGTCAGGGCGCACTGGAAGAAGGTGACGAAGATGGGCGCGTCGAGGCGCAGCGAGGGGCTGTCCAGCAGGTACTTGTTGAGGAAGACCATGGCGATGGAGGTGAACCAGTAGAGGCAGACCACCAGGAAGATGCGCAGCGCCCGCAGCACGAAGGGCGCC